CACTCTGTTTTTGGTGGGTAATTTTACATTTATCTGATAGGTTTTTTAAAAGAATATCTATGGGTTTTAAAAAGAATATAATTATTGGACAAGCTATCAGGTTGTCAAACAAGCACATCCCACTTATTTATTCCTAATGATAGCAGATATTCTTAAGCATAGTCTTTAGCACATAGACACAGAGGAAAAAGAAACCTCCAGCAAGATTTGAAAAATAGGAAAGGTGCAGATGACCAGATACACCTAATAAAATCAGGCCTGTGGTAGAATGATGTGGCCTATACAAGGCTGTAGTCTTGCCTTATGTTTAAAGCCAACATTAAACTAACTGATTCTAGTGGAGAAAAGATCCCTTCTATTTCTGCATTATTTTAATTCTTTTACTAAGCTCCAAAGTAATCTTTATGCCTCTGACTAATCTGCCACTCGTTTTTAAGCAAACATGTTTAGGGCCATTACCCTCTGTTGCAACGAATTCCATGACAAATGCAGGAGGTGTGGCATCTTCTCCATGAATGCAGAGAGATGTTCCTATGTTCTTGACATTTATCCACATTGTAAGAGGATATTAATAGAAAAGAATAGATGGGAGCAAGTCTTCTAATGAACCACTGGATGCTCAAATGGTTTCAATACACCACAGAGAGGTTAATCTACATGTAATAAAAGCATGGCTGTCTTCTCAATGAAATACTGAAAAAGGAATGCCATGATGGGCAAAATGGAATACAAGAATTTTCTAGGTCATAAAACAGGTAACTTGTATTGAAATAAGAGACAGGAAATGCAAATACATCATATTTCAATCTAAATCCTGGTATAAATCTGCTATCACTTTTCAGTCGTTTTATCTATTTTCCAAAGCAATTTCCACACTGGAGTTCGAGAGAGGTATTACTGCCTCTCTGTAAGACTCTGGTGTGCCCGCAACTAGAGTAATTGTATTCAGTTCTGGGCTCCACATTACAGGAAGGATATAGTCAGGTTGGAGTCAGTGCATTGTAGGGGCACAAGGATGGTGGCTGGTTTGCAAGGAAGCCATATGAGGTAAGACTGAGGGGACCGCATCTTTTCAGCCTGGAGAAGAGAAGATCTCTGAGGGGATCTGTTGGTGACATAGAGGTACATGAGGGGGTATCATGTGGAGGTGGATCAAGGCCTGTTTTCCCCCGCGGAGGAAGGCAGGACACATTCCAATGAAGCAGAGCTCAGGGATCCAAGGTTCAAGTTAGATGCCAGGAAGTACTTCCTGACAGTTAGAACCCCTAGGGTCTGGAATGGACTTCCAAGGAAGGTGGTTGAATCCCCATGGGGGAAGGTGTTCAAGGTTAGACTGGACATGCACATAGCAGGAATGTCACGAACTGGGGGTCAGACTAGATGGCTCAGGAGACCCCTTCTGACTCATCATGTTTCTATGTTTCTAACTCAGGATTCCTATGAAGCAATCACTAGACATGGGATGGGTTGCAAATACTCAGTTCTAAGAACAACTGTGAATGAAAGTGTGCTTATGAGCATGTGCATAGACTTCTAGGTAATGGATTCCCAAGCACTTCACAAGAGACAGTTACATACCCTGGGTACAACACCATCCTTCTGGAAGCACAACTAGAAGTCTCTCACTGACCATCAACAAACACAATGCTATATAATGGTGACAGGGCATGAACTCAACTGGAAAGTGATGGAGGATACAGTCTGAAGCATAGAAATGCTTCCATCAAGTTTATGCTGTATATCACAATAAATCCAAATGTTACAAAACTAAGCTCAGCAAAACCATAAAAAGCAAAGTGGAAATCTCCGTTGTAATGTCATATATTATTATATGATAATATTTCTTTTCAAAGAGTACCTCAAAGAATCATAGGGAAACCCACCACTAACAAAATTAGTTCAAGAATGCTTATAAGAACTACACATAAATAGAGTGACCTCTTATTCTTCTACAGCAGCAAAGTTATAACATTTTGATGGCTGGAGAGTGAGCGAGAAGCCTGTATATTGCAAGGGCCACTGGGTGTGCTTTGCACTGGGATGCTCTGCGCACAGAGACACAATGAGCTTACACAACAGCTTGTCAGAAGGGTATCAAGTGTATCTTTCAAGAAAATAACCCCCCAAATTCCTGTAAACAGCACCCTTCTGTACTGTAGAAAATAAAAGAAGCCTACTTGGGGAGATGAATCAGGAGAACAGGAAGCCCCCTTATCCTGAGTCGACTCCATCTAGCTCACCATTGTCTACTGGCAGCACCTGTCCAAGGTTTCAGTCTTTCCAGGCATACAGAAAGATGACAAGGCCTGAAGCCAGGACCTTTGTACATAAAGCATATGCTCTCCCACAGGACTGCAGTTCTTCTCCAAAGGTTTGGCCACAATTTTCCTGGAGGGGCTCATCCAATCAAGGTTTTAAATATAAGGAATGCTGGATCCTCTAACTGTGGCATTCACTAAGCACGATTATATTCAATGGTGGTGTGATAATAAGGAATACCCATTGACAGCAATAGGCTACACATTTCCTTGAATGGAAGACTAGCTTTTCAAATAAAGGGCATTTCTCAAAATAAGGGAATATGGCAATCCTTGCTGCAGTCAAGTCCATGAAATGGTGAACATTTTAAAATACTGCTTATAGTTTCTGATGTATCTGAACAATCTTTAGCTAGCTAGTAATTTTCACATGGATTCCAATACATTTTAGAAGGCATTTTTGGCTGCGATCAAACCCTCAAATGGAGAGCAAAACACTAACAATGCAGGAAATTTTGATTGCAAATAGAACAAAGTATGTATATACCTCCTTTGTCTGAATGAGACCGATTCAGATGCAAAGGACAGTTTTACCACTTGCTAATACAAATAGTCTGCTGCTTTGGAGTATTTTATTGGATGAGCAATGTGCTTTGATAATCTTTATGAAGTTATCAAGGGAAGTGAGAATTTGAATATAAGAATTAATGCAGGTCTCCAGATAAAATATTCAGTTCCCTTCAGAATCTTCACCATGAAAATACCATGTTCAACATACCAATCTTAACATCTGTTTCTATTCTTCAAAAAATGTGCTCTTCGGTGCATAGTTTCAATAAAGTTGCACCTAAAATGGCTGAAGATTTCTTGTAGCTAGATATTCTTAAAATATCAGGGTATTGCATTAACAGCTATAGCGAATATTTGAACACAATAAAATCATGTCTACTTCAAGACACTTGCACTGTCTGTGCAACTTTAAGCGTCCTTCCAGTTTTTTCCCGCTCGTTAATGGATAATATAAAAAAGAACACACATGGGGCTATTTGCACAATCACCACAGCCCAACATGGCTTATTTCAACCACAGTGGGTTGCAGCACACCAGTCTCCCCCTTCTCACAGCTCCTTTTCAGAGCAGTTACTGCAGGCACACCAAGTTCCTCTACATTCACTTCCCATCCATTATAAGTTCACATGATTCTTACTTTGATTTTTAAAAGAATGGTCAGGGAACAGCAGTAACTGCAGAAGTTAATCCCTCCAAAAAGAAGCCACAAAAAACAAAGGAGCCAATATCTACCTTTTCCAGAAAAGCAAGATAAATGGGGAAACACTGAAAAGGTGGAAAACACTAAGAACAGTTACTTCCACACATAAAAGTGAGAAGATTATATTGCTAAAGGGGATATATTGTTCCTCCACTCCACCACCTTTTGGTAGACCTTCCTCTGCTGCTTTTTTCTCCTTTTACCAGTGCCTTTCCACTGACAACTTGGCAAATGGACCCTCACAACTATGGACCCTAATAATGAGCCTATACACAGCCTCTCCTTCTCAATCCATTGCATACACCATTTAGCTACTCCTTAAGCTGAAATAGACAGGAAAATTGCCAAGACAAGACTACTTGTAACAAACAGGCATAAGTTCATATTTGAGCATGACCAATAAAATATTAATAAAGGGAAAAACATGAATGCAGTTGTGCGATTTTCAGGTGCAGAAGAAATAATCCCAACCTTGCTTTTCTAAGCTCAAAAAAGTGGGGACAGCTAACAAAAAGGAGTGGTAGTAGGAGTAAGGAGGGGAAACCAGGACACGTTCTGCCACAAAGGACCCTAGGACACATGCTGAGGGAAGCTGGAGGACTGAGGGAAGTGGGGGGAGGAGAGAAAAGGCGGAACACTTCCTGGTAACCTGCTCATTTGTTAGATAGTCCATAGGCTGTTCTTCAAACAAACAACCCATTGTGATTTATTCACAAGGTGGCTTAGAGCATGATGTGAACACACCCATCATTTGAGAAGCACTGGCCTAAGTAGTCCCAAACCACTAACACCCTTCAAGCTCCAGCACCATCCCTGATTGAACTATACCACCAAAGACCACCTCAAAAAGGTTGCAGCTTTAAAGGAGAGCGTCGTCTGTACATTTTTTTTTACTACATTCAAGGAGGAAAGATCCAAAATCTCAAAACAAAAGAAGCTCTTAAGTTACTTTCCTATAAGTACTGCCCCATATACGTACTGTTCACAATAAAAACTGGAATGTAATTAAACTTGGCAAATCAGAATGTGATGTTTTAGTGACAAGATATTTGGGGTTTGATTTTAATAGGTAAATGCTGCAACGTGTCATTGATTTTGTGATACTTGCAAGAAATGCACTCCTGTTTGGAGATCTTCTAGCTTGTACAGTTGAACACGATGTGGGCTAAATATAGCTTCAGCCAATGCTGGCAGCATGTGCCCACAACACAGCAAATAGGAAGAAAGGTGGAAGACAAAACCTGTCTCAACTCCAATCTTGGGATGGCTTCCAAACAACACTGGGAAAAGCAATTATCCTTTCAGCTTATTCTCTTGCCACCCTTCCACCACACCTGCTTATGGACTTGCCCTCATGGTCCCTGCAACTGTACCCATTCCCTTTTCAAGAGGTCACTTTTTCCCAAAATTAGTGTATATACATTCTATTAGAACTCTGGAATTTCATTGAGCTGTGTGCCTCTGCCACTGACCTGGGAAAGAGGGCATTCTTTGGCTAATGTGCTCTGATTCATCTCTTTGAGCAACTCCTTTAAGGCATTGCGGACTGTGGCATGGTTCCACTGCTCTGCTGGCAAGTCTTCCAGCTTTGAACAACTGTGAAAACAGAGAACAGGAGAATAAGCAGATGGAAAGCATCACCTGCAAAGATAGCTCCTCTTTAAATGCAAGAGCTAGAGTGCTTTGAGAAATCAGACACAGCTTAGAGTGCCCTGCCTGGGTCTTTTAAGTTCTTAATATGAATTTTACTTCCTGTGGTGTAGCCATCTCTTCCAGCTACAAATCTGAACCCAACAGGATTTAAGACATGAGTCACAAAATGCAAGGCTGCAGCCTAAACAGGAGCAATTGCTTATCATATCGTGTACTGTGTGATGAAACAAGCCACTGCGCATCAAAAGGCAACAGATGGACTATGGTGATAGAATCCAAACCGTAGGTCTGATTTCTGGCTTGGTTCTTGAAACAGAAAAGGTGTTTATTTTTCAAATATACCAAGTTAACCATTTAATCAGGCCTTGAGGAACTATTAAATTGGGGGTTGTGGAAAATTCTCTTCTAAAGAGCTTAACGACTGCCCTTGTCTATGCTCCAGCATCATGTTGAAAGAGAATATTGGCCAAGAAGAGCTGCCAGGTGAAGCACTCTTCCTGTATTTTTTTTCTTTCCATTTCAACAAAAGCTCAGAAATTAATGAAGACAGGATGTGCTAATCTCAGTAGTAATGCTGTGATCGACAGAGCAGCTCAGAGACTAGAGGAGGGCAGATGTTCAGAAATACCCACCTTTGTAATTGAATTTTCAATGTCACAACATGATAGACATCTTGTAACATGTCGGCTACTGTTGCATCGGGCGCGTCTGTCACATAACTGAGTGGAAGGGGGTTCCACTTTCCAAGTTTGATTATACCTGAAAAAAAACAAAGCAATCAACAAATGAAAATATATTCCACATTTAATATGTCATCTGATCATTTGTTCAGGAACTATAACACTGATATGTTATTCTGATACTTCGTTGCAGACATACCCCTGCCCCACCCATCTCTCCTACCCTGTTAAGTCCAGAGAGTATAAAGTTAAGCAAGCCTCAGTCTAGAAGCAAACATAATTTCACAGCCTACAAATCTTTTCAGAAAATATAAATTTGATTTTGAACCAAAAAAGAATATAGGAATATATTGTCTACAGTGGGCAGCAGTGGCTCTCCAGGAGGTCCAAGAGGAGTCTTTCCAAGCATGACCTGGAGATGCTGAGCTTCTTTCCCATGGCTCAAGTCCTCACTGGTAATGGCACTAGTTAGAGTCCTATAAAGATTATTGAAATCAGCACACAATTATCTCCCACTTAGGGTGGAACTTATGTACAAATATTTCTTGGTTGGTTTATTCCCAGATATGAGGTACACTACATGTGAAACCACCATTGCAAGACAGCCTTGCTTTTCTGTTGCTGCACCTTCGCAATCACAGCAAAGTCTTGCATAGGAGGCAGTCCATGTGACTTGTGACTGAATGAACTCCTGGACCATCGGAGAAACATTTTCTTAATTGTATGTAATGCCACAGCTACATGCAAAAATAGCCCAGACTAAGTAAGAATATTCAACAGCATTGATGATCCTTCTGATAAACAGCCTCCATTAACCTGCTAATTGTTTCACTGTGGTATCCTGTTTTTCACTGGGATCTTGAAGAGTGATTGTAATTACACCAAAAAATATTTACAACCTATGAAAGTACCTGTGACTTAGAAACTATCAGCTCAACACAACTATGACTCAGTGAATTGCCTAAAGCATCCAGAATGGGAATTGGTAAGTTTTGCATATAAATGGCAAGGGAAGGAAAACTGGGACTGTGTCCATTTATGCTTCCCCATACCTCAAAGTTCACTCAGGCCTCTCTAAATCAGAGGTAGGAAAAAAAGACAGTGTACAAACAAACGTGTTTTTCAGCTGGTACTTATTGCCAGAATCTTAAATCAAGCAGATGCAAACACATCTTTTTTCACATGTATTCCCAAGCAGGAATGGAAACCAATATGCTGAAGATCACAAACCAACAGAAGAGCTGCTTGGGGTGATATGAAGCGCCCTACAGAATACCAGGGGAGTACACAAAGAAAAAAATAAAAGGTCTCTAAAGTTATACAGCTCTTGGATTTGGAAAGGCAGGAGGGAGGAAAGTGGTTCACCTAAAGGCATCCTGAATTTTGGGCGGGGGGGCACAAACTAAAATAAAAAAAATCTTGTTTGTAAGCATGGTTGATTTCTGGTGCCCCGAGACCAGTTTTGCTTCCTGCCTCTGCTAATCAGAGGCAGACTTATCTGAACTGGAGGCAGCAACTCCCCTTATTCCATGCAACAGGATCCAATCAAGTTTGTACCACTACCAGGAAAGGCTGAAAGCATCCCAGTTATGATGACCAACCCTGAGATTGTAAGAAGAGATCATTAAAATGATAACTCTGAGCAAAACTGAAACAAAAGCTTGCTATTTATGACATTACACAAACAATAAAATTGAGATGAACCCGATTTGGATTTAGTTCAATGCATTCCATTGTGACACAAGTCAAATTAACAGGCATTTTAGTTAATTTTCTGGAGTAGACTGCTTGGTATTTGATGGTCAAAACTCTTTTGGAAAGGCTCCCAAAGAAAAACGTCTATTGCTTGACATCAAATGCTTAAAACAGGGCATAAAGAGAACAAAAACATTAAAATCATGCTACTGTTTCAGTATTAAGGTTTCACAATCTGGTGCTGAATATGCTGCAGTATAAATAGTGCTTAGACTCTGATCCTGCACAGTAACATACAAAGCTCATTCACAGTACCGTATGTCTTCAGGGCTGGCATTTCATATGTATTTCCCTTGCCAACATAAAGGCTGTTTTCCTTAAAGGAGGCACTTCCAAGGCCTTATCCACATACACACGAGGAGAACATTTTTTTTCAAAACAGAACATTTTCTGGGTTTTTTTCCAGTGTTTAATTTATTCACAGAAAACTTTCCATTTCGAAACAATGAATGGATGCAAGCTATTAATATTTTATTGAATTTATATCCCACCATTTTCCTCTTCTGAAAAACCCAAAGTAGAGATTGGGTTAGGTTAGGCTGACAGTAGCCCAAAGCTTCATGGCCAACTGGGATCTCCCAGGTCCCCAGTCCTACACTCTAACCAAATCATTTTTAAGCTATAAATTAGTGCCAGCCAGTATATGCACAGTTCTTTGGGTTGCTAAAATGTATTAATATGTCAATAGTTTTCAGTAACCTTTCTTCCCTTGAATGTAAACAATATAAGAAAAGTACACACAATAGTCTTTACATTCTTAGAACAGCAATCTATATAAAATTACATGTGTTTTAACATTTTCTTCAAACATTTCTAATCAACTATTTGTAGCTTATTAGGTCAAAAAAGTAACATGGGGCACTTTTTGGGCGTTGTTGCTTGTTAAATAAATGTAAAATGAACATTCTAAATTAGATCACACTCAAGGACATCAGTGTTTTTTCTGATGCAAACTGACAATCTGCATCAGAAACAACATTCTGGAAAGTGTTTCAAGTTCAGAATATTGCAGATAACCCACATCCTTACATGTAGGTGAAAGAACGGGCTTTCTATCACCCCTAACACTGTAGTGCCACTTGAAAGTGTTCAGCACCATCCCATATTCTGGAGTAAAGAAAGCAATACACAATCTTTCACAAACAGTCAACCAATTTATTTGAAATTCTCATCACTGAGAATCCTCCTGTGTTTTCATACCTGATTGTGACAAGTAGATTATTTTGAGCTGTGCAATGAGAAAGATCTGCAAGCCAATCATAAAACTACCATGTTAAGGAGGTAATATGGTCTGTTCTACTGAAGAGTATGCTACAAATTATAACAAGACAACTGCAGCGCTTTCAGAATTTGAGATGGCTGTGTGAATAGGTCCTTTATATAGCATTGGGAGAAATATGTAAAGCATGACATTCTTTATTAGAAACGACCTAATTTGTCAAGGGTATACAACATCAGTGAGCAACTTGTAGGCCCTCAGATGGTTTGGCCTATCCTCATCATCAGCCCTAGCCAGTATAGCAAAAGGAAAGGCATTGTGAGCTAAACCATCTGGAGGGACACAGGTCACCCCACTTCCCAGTCTACAGAATAATGCTTCTTTGCTGTAATTATACAATTAATTATAAAAAGAGGTGACCGCTGTCTTGGCCTAAAGTACAAAAAAGCCACAGGTGTTACTATAATGTTCAGTGCTTTTCCACATTAACACCTGCTGCAAGTCCTCTTTCTTTGTTACACACTATGTTTGCAGCCAGTGAAATCTGATTAGTGATAAGAAAGCTCCTCTAAGCTCACTTTGATTTCCAGTCTTGTTCAGCAAGTGTTACAAAACAACACTATATCCTACAATTTTGGGAACAATAACTGGAGGAGGAGTATGCCAACCTTACAAGGAGAGGTTATTTAACTGTAGTTAAATAACTACTTTAACTGTAGTTCTCTGAGTGGTCATTTGCCAATGCAAACATATGAATGATGTACCTGCACAGTACAGTCACTGAGAACAGTTTAGAGTTCCACAAAAGCTTTAGGCAGGAGCCCCAGGCCAAGGCTCCCATCTCCTATTCGATCTGTTGCAGCTGAAGAACTAATTAAGAGCTGCACTGGTTGTGTAAGTTCACAGGTGACCACTCAAAGAATTACAATTACAAATAAACTTTCCCTCTTCTTCGTGGTCTCTGGAACTCATACACATGGGCAACTGATAAGCATGATTCACCAGAATAAGGAAGATGTCATGCTAAAGATGGAAAGAGGACCACTTATCCAAACGCTGCATCTGGATGGGCCTTGGCATCAGTAGTACTTAATGAAGGTCAACAACTAATTTCTTGCGGGTTGTTTGTAATGTGCAAATCATGGTCCATTTTAGAGATGGAAGTCCACAAACTGGCTCAGCTTGCATCATTGTACGTGTAAGTCAGAACCAACATGGGACTGGCAAACAAGAATCTGGGGAGCTAAATCCTATTGGATTCTTCATATATTCCTAAGTAGAAGCAGGATCCCCAAAGGAAAGCACTGGATGATGCAATTCCTTGATCATGGATACTGCCTACTAACTTACTTGGCTCCTAAGTGTTATTGTCAAGAAGACAGGTTTTGAAAATTAATGTGGGAATACAGGGCACCCTTTCTGTGATCCAGAGTAACACAAATAAATGAAGACAGACCTTGAATGAAGCTATATGCTACAAGGAGAAGGAGAAGGCCCTCGTAACATTTAATGAATAAAAATTTACCTCCACCAGGGAGGGAGGGCGGTTGAGAGGAGAAACATGGGTACAACTACACCCTAAGACAAATGAAACTGGAAAACCACCTTTGAGAGGAAGGAAATGTCTGGTCATAGGATCACATTATCTCTATGGAATACCAGGCATGGCTGGTCATGCCAGGGAACCCAGAACTACCTACTCTATGTTCTGAGCTGATAGCCTTAGAAAGGGTGCTTTCAGAGTAAGTAGGCCAAGGCCACCTGTAGCTGTGGACTCAAGGGCTTGTCTGTTAGCTGTGTACGAATGCCCAGCAAGCTCCATTTTGTGACGGGAGCCATGGCAGACAAGATGTTGGCTAGGCCCTAGAAGAAGTGTTGGCACCTGGGGATGAGTAGAGAGAGAAGCCCTTGTCTTGAGTTTGGTATACTTAACAGAGATTGTCACCAAGCACACACAGTGAGAGGAGAGCACCAGCCCTCAACTATGAGAGAGAGAGAGACAGAGAGAGAAGAAAGTCAAGCACTACTGAAAGACTGCAAGACTCTAGCTGTTGGCCTGCATTAACAACAAATACAGAAAAGACTTTCTCCTCTGCATCAAAGAC